ACTATCTGCCAATCTCGTGAATGCTACGGCTACACCCGCAGACTTACAACACTCTAACACTATCTGCCAACCTTGTGAATGCTACGGCTACACCCGCAGACTTACAACACTCTAACACTATTTTACAACCTCGTGAATGCTACGGCTACACCTACAGACTTAAAACACTCTAACACTATCTGCCAACCTTGGTCCTCCCATCAATTTAACTATACCCATCCTGGGTCGAACACGCACTCGACCTAACACTCAACTGAACTCGAGTCCTAACTGGGCCTCTAACCTGATCCCCGAAACCCGCTATTCGATGCCAAGGAAAAGCATGTACCAAATGTTGGAATGTTTTCCAAACTCTCACTCACACAATCCTCAACCTAGACGGCTACTCGACCGCCTTTCTCCCTAACGGGGATGCAAAACTCATCCTAGTTTCATACCGATTTCTACTCCTAAATACCTGATCGATTCTCCCCAACTTAGATTCGACTAAGTCTTCACGAAACGTGAGAATTGAAGGACTCTAAATCCTTTTACTTTCTAATAATCCATTTTTGACAACATGTGCTTACCAATGCCAACGATCAATTACTGGTCAAACCCAAAGATCGCCAATCCTCTGAAATCTTGTTGGGTAATCTTGAAATCTGGTCCGGTCTGAAACCATAATCCACCTCCCATGTTGGCGATTGGAGGCCTTAATGTTTACCCTGGCTGACGAATCCTCGTTCCCACTTCCATCCTCGCAACACCGTTGAACTCTAACCTAACACAACCCATGCGAAAATACAATTCTATTGAACATCCAATGAATAAAAAACTCCCGCAACTCTCACCACCATCTTCATGCTACCAGTCCTTCCCTAGCAATGGTAGTGCCATGAATTCTAATGTTCTTCCATAGGCAAATGTCGTTCGTACCCGAACAGATGATAGGACCACTGAACCCCGGCTTCGCTGGAGAACTACTCCGCAAATTCTTGACCAAAGGTACTCCCAATAATCCTCCTGGACAGATCCCGACAAAGATCCGGAATCGTAACGGTACATGCGGAACCCACTCCGCTAGATACGTCCATCTGTAGGTTCCTCAAAGACTTCTCGGCATGAAGAATGGCATATAACAATCCTTGATAACCCAGAAAATAACAGAGAACCTACTCGAGATCCAACTTGTTGAAAATAAATAAAAATTCCCAAGTGTTACAATTTCCCGATATCCACCTTGAAGTGGCAGAAGATAACATACATGTAAACATCTGAAGGAATCCAGATCACCTCCTCCTGAGATACATCGACCATCTTGAGGACATGCTGCAAAACTCCCTTCCGATCCTGATGACAGTAACTAACAATAGGATCCTCCTTCCTGTAGGACTCTAAGGATCCACAAGCTTTAGGCCCCAGATGAGCCCCTGTTGGGTCATATTTAAATGGTTTATGCTGGGCTTTTAGTTTATTATTGTACTTGGGCTTAGAAATAGTGGGTTTTTGGTGTTTTCAGTTATGGGGACCGAAATTACTATGGTTATTTCGGTCAGCTTGCGCTTGGGCCTTTGAAGGCTTTGTACTTGGTATATATATATATATATATATATATATATATATATATATATATAATATATATATATATATATATATATATAGTTTTTAGCAGTTTAGGAGTCCTAGTTGTTCAATTGTCTTAGTATTCGGCTGTTAAAGGTAATCTTGTGTACCAGACGATTTTATCAATTAAATCATGTGCATTGAGAGCTATTTTGTGTGTTCTTGAATCGTTATCTGATTTATATTCCGCATTCTTTAGATAGTTTGAATGATATCTTATTGAGCAAACTGTTTTGGGACTTACAGTTGGTATCAGAGCTTTTAAAGGGTATCAATCGATTCAAGGACCTTGAGAATTCCTTTTTAGCTGTTTTTTTTATCATTGGTTTAATCGAACTTTGATAAGTTTCGATTGAATTTGATAAAATTTTGGCTGTTCATCGATAAATTGTTCTTGGGATTCTTAGTATTCATCGTATTCACCATGTTCTTCGTGAATCCTCATCTAAATTATTGGGATTTTATTGGAACCTTATCAATTAAAATCACGAAATTTAAGGGTTGTCGGTAACTTCCTGATAAGAAAGCAAGGTTTTCGATTCAACTATCTTAAGGATTTTCGGTGAACTCTTGGTCAAAATTGAAGGTTTTCGGTCCACGTTCTGAGCGAAATATGTAAAAGAAAAAAGAGTATTTGGTTTCAGTTCTCGACCGAAATCATCAGTTCTCGGTCAAAAATACATACATATATATATATATATATATATATATATATATATATATATATATATATATATATATATATATATATATATATATCAAAAAATTTCCAAAAATATGTCTTCTTTAGTAAGTGTTCTTAGGAAGTGATATGAGGTTTAGTGTTAAAGAGAAAAATGAAATACGTGTGTAAAATGAAGCTAAATTGTTTAGACTCTGTGTTCATTGTGCTGGTAGGCACGAAGGATTAAAAATGAAAGGACTAGACATTGTTGAAAATGAAAGGACTTGACAGTGTTAATTCATTTGTAATATACAATAAAGTTACTTGTCATCTAGAACTATGGCTCAACACTTCTTCGACGTACGAACGTATGTCCTTAAATCTGGTGCTGATAGGTTGACTGAAGGGTTCTGATAAAGTAGGTTTGTGTGAAAATATTTTTCTTTCTTATCCTCTATGTCAGTCATATATTGCCCCTTTACGTGATTGGAAGAAATCTAACCTGTGACACAACATATGCATCTCTATTTCTATGCATCTCTCTATCTATCTATGTCAGTCATATGTTGTCCCCTCTGCGTGATTGAAAAATATCCGACCTGGGATACAGCATATGTATCTTTCTATTTCTCTATCCCTCTATCTATGTCAGTCCTATTTTGTTCGTAGTGGGGAATAAGTTCTAGTGCACTTAAAATTAAAATTCTTCATGACTAAAGGCTGACTGTAGATCTCACTGTTGAATTTAAGTGGACAACAATATCCTTGGTCGTCGTCAGCAAAATGGTCTATTTTGGAAAATAATGGCAATGTCTTGTTACTTATAATTTGTCCAGCTTGCAAATATCATCTGCGTTTAAGTGGACCACAATATTGGTGACTGACCAGAGTTATCCATGCAGGTGTGTGCTGATGAACGATATTAAATTACTTGACAACTGTTGATCCCAAAAGTTTTAAATTTAGTTGTTACAATGTGTTTGTTTTATTTTATTTTTATTTTTGTTTCTAAAATTTTATTTTTAATTTAATTTTAATTTGGCATTTAATTTGCATTCATTTAATATTATAAATTCTAGTTTTATTTTATTAATTCTATTTTTTAATCTAAGAAACGAATTATTGAAATGATATGGTTAACTGAATTTTTTTGGGGCCCACCGAATTCGGTGGCCCAAAGGGCCGAGAACCCATTTTGGGGGGTTTAATAGGGTTTTCTAGTTCATTTTCATTCATCAAGACCGCAATCAATTTTTTTCCCAAAATCCAAGCGAAAACCCTTTCTTACTCACTGTTCATCGCAAAAACCTTTTTACCCACTGTTCATTTGTTCATCTTCGGCTAAAAGCAACAAGCTTCTTTTGATTTTAGCTAGGTATATAGCTTACGAGTTACATGCTTCAGTTTTATGCCTTTCTTGGAAGTTTTTGCAGGTTTTTTTTTCAAAAGGGTTTTCGGCAAGTTAACGGTGTTTTCCGGTGAAGTTATCAAGTGTTTAAAATTTGAATTTTCATGTTTTCGGTTTGACCCGGATCCGACCGAAATCGATCGAATCCGGCCAAAAACAACTTGTTTTGACAGAAAACATCCCCTTTCACCGAAATCTCAAATCTTGACCGAATTCACTCAAGTCTTTGACCGAAATCACTTACTTTGACCGAAATCGACGTTGTTGACCAAACTTTGAGTTTTTGAGAAAATAAATTTTATTTTTAATTTTTATTATTCTCACTTGGCTTGTTTGGTGCAGTTAAATGGCGGATCAGTTGAAATTTGTGGATTCTTACAATATCACTGTATATCTCCTAGATCCACTTGCCGTGCATAATGAATTCAAATCCATGATCGTGGGTTTAAACAATTGCAGAATTTCGCATGCTTTGCGTACTAATCCAGTCATCTACAAGGACCTGATTACTGAGTTCTGGAAATATGCTTCAATCAACAAGCACGGACCAGATGGAGTTGGTGTTGTTGAATCGATGGTGAAGGGAACTCCAGTAATTATTTTTGCGCAAGTTATCCGACAAGTACTTGAGTTTGGTGATGCTCCTGTATTTCCAGTTGAGTACTCTACCGATCAAGTTAAGGTAGTCCTTTAGAAGATGTATTATGAAGGAACCTATCCTCCTACTATCAAGAAGTTGTTACCAGCTTTCTGGAGGTTTATGGCATACTCCTTTGTAATTTGCATTTCTGGAAGGAAGGGAGGATCGGATGAAATTAGTCAGACTGCGAGTTCATCCATCGTCGCTCTATCAGTGGACTGGGATTACAAGTTTTCAAGGTTTCTCTTTGAAGAAATGAAAAGCAGCCTTCAGGGGAAGAAAAAGGACCTATTTTTGATGTATCCCAGGTTCCTTCAAATGATCCTAAATGAAAAATATCCCCAACTTGAGAGGTCGTCTGATACTTTAGATATGAAAGACTTGGGTCCCAACACCTTTGGGATAATGAAACAATCAAGAAAGCAGCCAATGTCGCCTATCACGGATTGAAGGAGTTGGTTAAGTTTGGAAAGTTTGTTGAAGTTGAAAATACTCCTGCTGTTAGTTCCATCAATGTTGAGGTTGCCGTGGAACATGTGGCACCTAAACCAAAATTTCAACTTGCATTTGAAGAAGTTGAAGTATCTGATGATGAAGAAGAAGAGGCTCAAGAAAAAGATTTGACAGAGAATGAGTTTGATAATTTTCAACAAAGTATCTCAATTCATGATCAGGATGTTCATATGTGTGAATCATCGAAGGAACCAGTCAATGAAGCTGTGATTTCTCCAACTGAGATAGAGAAAGAAATAAACATTTTCAGGAAACCAAACGATTCAACCCCTGAACAGATGGATGCTCTTATTGCAGAACTTCAGCGAAATGTTAGAAAGCCTCCCCAAGAAGTTCCTGTTAGAACCGAACCTCCATCTGAGAGTGATCAAGAAGATTCAGCTCACGTCCTTCTCCCGAGGAAAAGAAAAAGAAGAGATCGAAGACCTGGAGTGCTTATCACAGACCCTGTTCTGAATGTATCTACTCCGGTTGATCCTTGTTATGTGGCCCAAAACATTGAAAGCACCTTCACTGAACCTAGTTCAAGCCCGTTACCTGAATCCACTCCTATGGATCAAGATTTTAGAAGCCCGATTATTGAACAAGAAGTCTTGCCTACAGAAGGGGTTCAAGCTTCTGGAAGCTCCTTTGAAGCCCCCGAGCCGGATACTTCAAAAGGCAAAAGCAAGCTGTCTGAATCTGAGTTTGTGGATTTCGCTCTGCTTAAAAACAAAGTTTTTGATTTGGAACAGAGCTCAGTAGAAAAGGATTTGATTATTGGAAATCAGGACATTAGAATCAGTGATCTTGAAAAGGAGAGCTCCATTAAAGATGCAAAGATTTCAGAACTTCAAGCAAATCTTGGTGGTCTAACTGCTTTATTTTTTGACCTGAAACAACGCTTATATCAAAAATTTGGTGATGATTTTCAACCTTTAACCGTTAAAGGAGAAAAGATCTATGCTTCTAGTTCTGGTCCAACCAATCCAATTTCTCAATCTACAAGTGAAAGAATTGTAAGACCTGCTCCGGATGCAAATCTTGACACATTTTTATCTTCTGGTCCTGCTTCTGCTCAAGAAAGAAGAGAGAAGCAAATCAGGATTGATCAGCCGAAGCATTCAGACCAAAATGCTCCAGGTGATCAACCTGAGATGTTTTTCAGGGAGATTGGGAAGAAATTTATAGATAAGTACGGGGATTGCTCTGGCATTTTGATGTGGGGAAATGATGTTGACAAGAAAATGTGGATTGTAAAGCGTAAGAGAGGAGGACCTAAGTATTATGAGAAGAAAGTCGACTTTCTGTCCTGGAAAAAAGTTGATCTTTCTGAACTTATTCACACACTTTTCCACAATCCAACCAACGATCCCACGGCCTGGTCTTTTAAGAGTTTTCTTGAGGATAAATCTAAAAATAACTTTGAAGGCATGAAGACTGCTTCGTCATTTACGGAAAAGGCCAAGGATGTCATTGATCCTCTCACTAATAAAACCATGGTCAATGTTATGTGGCCATCTACAAAGCAAGCTAAACGGATTTCGCTTCCCAAACGTTTACCAGAGGGCACTTTGGACTCAATGCAATTTTGGGTCTATGATGAGGCTACCGCATCAGTGGTGATCAAGTTAAAGAAGAACCAGTATGGCATTGTCGATCCTAAAGATTTGTTGAGGTTTCGTGAACATGATATCCGAACTTTGTCAATCTTTCAAATAATTGTTGAGAATGAAATATTTGAAGCTGCCACAAAAGTCTTCACCGGAATGGTAGCTACCATAATTGAAAAGAAGTTGTGGGTTGGGGCATTTGATCTGGCTGACGTGCATCTCGTGGATAAGCTTTGAAAGTTAGCTAATAATAAACCAAGGGGGAGATTTTTGGGTCATATTTAAATGGTTTATGGTGGGCTTTTAGTTTATTATTGTACTTGGGCTTAGAAATAGCGGGTTTTGGTGTTTTCGGTTATGGGGATCGAAATCACTATGGTGATTTCGGTCAGCTTGGGCTTGGGCCTGTTAAGGCTTTGTACTTGGAATATATATCGTTTTCAGCCGTTTAGGAGTCCTAGTTGTTCAATTGTAAAAGTACTCGGCTGTTAAAAGTGATCTTGTGCACCAGACGATTTTATCAATTAAATCGTGTGCATTGAGAGCTATTTTGTGTGTTCTTGAATCGCTATCTGAGTTATATTCTGCATTTTTCAGATAGTTTGATTGATATCTTATTGAGCAAATTGTTTTGGGACTTACAGCCCCTAACTGCCCCCCGAAAAATATGGCCCGAAAGGCCCTGAGACGACTATCGAGGGCTTCCAAAATCCCTTCCTTGGTTGAACCAAAAACTACAAGGTCCAACCTGAAATTCTGCGAGTAACCTCCGATGAGATGAACTCTCGCGATCGTGCATCAATTGGCCTAGGTCCTGCTCCTGAGCCGGAACCAGAATCTTAATCCCATTCTTGAGTGCTCAACACCATACCGAACTGACATTCAAGAGATCCGAATATACCCAAGAATCCTCATCCTACAGGCTTCCTAGATTCTCCAAGACTCTTCCCGATTCAAGTAAGGATCCTGTGTTTTCAGTAGTACGGGCCCAATACTACCTTCCACACCTATCCATACCTTCCTCAAGAATCATCCTGAATCCTCCGAGTCACCCTCTCAAACTGATACCCTGAAGGCTCGCTAATAGCGCAACCAAATCCACTAAAGCATTTCTTACGCATTCCTAGGTTCCCGAACCCACCTAGTCCTCAGCTGCTGAAGGATCCCATTAATGTCAACTAGCTACCTCATGAATATAGACACATGCAACAGAGATCATATAATCCTTCGAGTAAAAGACTCAATCCTAGAACGGTTGGACTCAGACAAGAGCTGCGCAATAGGGCCAAGTCCATCACTCTGAGATTATCCAGCCTGTGCCAATGGAAAATCTAACCAACATACTCCATCTAGCCATTCTATTCAACTATCTAAACAATACTAACCGACAATTCCAAGAGCTCAAACAATCATGCATAACCTAAACAAACCGTCCTATCACTGACTGATCAGTACTAGCATGCAGATCTACAAGCACATACAGTAGGCATATAAGGCATCCTTTCTAGATCCTTAGCCATAATCTAGCATTCAGTTCACATATTCTCAATTCATATTGTAACATAACATAACATAACATGTATGTGTATCTTGGGGAAAATTTACTTGAGCTCGACGGATTGCATGCATCACACTCCTTGTTCTTTATCAAAACTCTTTATTTTAATTTTAGAAAAAATTATTTTTTTGTAAAAATCTCTCAAACCCTCAACTTGAGTCCAGACACCCCCGAAGGTGTATCCGAATCCCTCAAACCAAGGCTCTAATACCAACTTGTAACATCCCAAAATTCAAGGCCAAAAATTTCATTTTAATTAAGTTAATATAATAACCGATAGTAGAAAATCATCCATAGTGCCATCCCATAACAAAACCAATATGTCAATAATCAAACATCTCATAACGAAACATCATTAGAGTATAATCCAAAAGATCTCATGTGCGGAAAACAAAGTGTGATGCTCTGCGATCATGTCGGCTCTTTTCCTTTCGAAGAATAAGTAGCTGAAACTAAAACTGTAAACCGTAAGCACGAAGCTTAGTGAGTTCCCCCATCATACCACATAATCACATACTGACAGACATATTTGGGTTCCCGGCCTACCCTGTCAGGCATATATGGGTGCCCGACCTACCCTGTCAAGCATATCAGGGTGCTTGACCTACCCTTCCAGGCATATTTGGGTGCCTGACCTACCTTCCGGTTCATCTCAATCGGCTACGGGGTCTATTTCACCCCTACCACTACCACATAATAACATATCATAACTATATTGTCTGGCATATCTGGGTGCTCGACCTACCCTATCAAGCATATATGGGCGCTCGACCTTGTTGGGTTTTGAGCACTATAACACTCCTATGGTGCAGATGCAACCCTAAATGCTTTGGATCTATGTTTTCTCTATTATACATGATTATTTTCAATTTTTCCAAAGCATTGTTCTAACTATCATACAAATTGCCAATTGAATAAAACATCTAGATAGATGACATACCTTTTGAAGGACTTGTAGTTCTTGACCCTTGAAAGCTTAAGCACCTCAAGTGTGATGCCTCTAATGGTTCACAAACACCAATATGCAAGAGGATGATTTAAGAGAATAATATATTTATCTCAAAGAGAAGAGGCAACCGATTCTGGTCTATGGAGGGTTCTATTTATAGTGTTGGACATGCTAGGGTTACACTTGGTAAACCCTAATAACCCATGACTTTCCACTTTCTCATACTCCATCGGTTTAACCTCCATGGACTATCCATGGATTAGTTAGCCCATAATCATGGATCATTAGCCCACACTACAAGAATGATTCATTTACATAATCAATACCTTTATATTTAATTAGTCTCTTTTGATCACAAAATTAATAAATTAATTCTTGATCAATACTAATTAAATAATTTTGTATTAATATATTATAGTTGTAATATATTAATAAACCATAAATAACCTTATTCTCAAAATTCATCCTATCAAATTGAACTGTTGAAGGCAATCCAAAAGAACCATGCTACAATCGGGTCAAGTACATTTCAGTTATAGCTATGGGCTTAAACACCAAATCCAACAGTCTCCCACTTGGATAAGTCTAATAACTATTACTGCTTATGCACTTCAGGATCTGACTTAGAAATCGTAAGCTTTCAAAAGCCGTTGTCGAACTCTGACCTAGTCAGTGACACGTCCTTCAGATAAGTTAGCATATACTCCTATGTTCTCAAGATATCTATGCGGACAAAAACATGGAGCATTTTCATACTTACTGTCCTGCAATTTGTTTCCCGATTTCTGATTCGTCTGACATAGAAGATAACTGAACACATCAATTTAGTTCTGACCAGGCCCGACACATAAGTCAAAACAGAATCATCGAGGGGCCCAAGATATCGCTTTTAATCATCTTAGGATAAAAGGAACTGATAAACTTCGACATTATATGCTTGTACTGACTACTCATCAAATCATGCACAACGACACGTTTTATAACATCAAGTTACTGATGCGTTATCATGCCATCAATACACAACCAAAATTGTAGTCAATAACTCATATATCTTGGTTTGAACATTATATGATATTATCGTCTCACAATTACTCGTAATAATTTCCATGAAGTAATTCAGGTGAGCGCGGGTTGAATCCAGTACTCAAATCTTATTTCAGGAGCACTCATGAATGGTGTAGCAAACATGTTGCTATGCCTAACTCCTTAGACAATCTTACAAGCCAACTCATGACAGTCTTATTTCATACTTACTTCCAACGTATGATCGACTGTGGATAGTTTGAATAATAATAATATTCATAATTTTATTATTCTGGAAGTCAAAACATGCAAAGTGAAACAATAGTAAATAAATGACACAAGACAATAACTTTACTTATAAAGAAAACTCCTTTTATTGATCATCAAATGTCAATTACAATTTAGCTATTACAAGTATCGATTTATCTAATTAGTAAAACTAATATCGTCCTTTAGGCCAATGTTCCTCGCATGCTGCAAGTTCTTAACCCTAGTCAATCCTTTTGTACAAGGATCTGTTGGGTTGTCCTATGACGATATCCCCTTTACCACGATGTGCCCTTCTTCTACCTGATGTCTTATGAAGTGATATTTTCTATCGATATGCCTAGATCTACCATGATCTCTCAGTTCCTTGGTTAAGGCAACGGCACCTTCATTATCGCAGAAAATCTCCATAGGCTCCTTTATGGATGGGATAACTCCAAGGTCTCCGATGAAGTTTTTCAACCATATCGCTTCCTTCGATACTTCTCTTACTGCTATGTACTCCGATTCACACGTCAAATCAGCTACAGTTTCCTTCTTGGAACTTTTCCATGTCACTGCTCCTCCATTCAGGGTAAACACCCAGCCCGACTGAGAGCGGAAATTATCTCTGTTGGTTTGGAAGCTGGCATCGCTATACCCTGTCACTCTCAAGTCATCACTCCCACTGAGGGTAAAGATCCAATCCTTAGTCCTCCGCAAGTACTTAAGAATGTTCTTAACTGCAGTCCAATGAGTTTTACCAGAATTCCCTTGAAATCTGCTGACCATGCTCAAAGAAAAGGCCACATCAGGGCGAGTACAATTCATAGCATACATGATCGAACCAACTGCGGAAGCATATGGTATATGACTCG